GCTCGTGGGCGTGAACAGTACGAGCCGAGCGGGTGAGCCGATGAGCCGCTCGGCTCATTTGACACCACTAACGCGAGCGCATAGCTTATTGATAAGTGTATTTTATACACTTATTCGATACTCTAAATTATGATATTTTATTGTTATTTGGATAAAATTCTACCTCATTTATGTTATATTGTATTTTGTAGGTAAAAAATTATGTTTAATAAAGAATTGGAGAACAGAATACAAAAGGTGGCGAAAAATGGCAAATTACAAAGATGAAACATTGGAGAGAAATATTACATTAAATAGAAAGATGAAAAGAAAAAAAGAAAAGAAAAAGAAAGAAGACAGCGGACACGAGAAATTTCACATTTCGTCAATTTTTGGTGATGTCGTTCCACTTTTGCATGTTTTTATTTTTACAATATGAATAACTAATTTTTATATTAGTGAAAACAATGTAGTCGACTTGTCATCCTTTATTTTTCTATTCAAAATTTATGTAATTTATTTATGTGTTGGTTTTATTATGAGTTTAATGCATTAAATTATTTGATCAATAATTTGATGATTATGTGAGTCTCTTACGAATCGAGAGGTGAGTTTGAGATTTAGACCATATAGTAAAATTCGGTAAATTAGTATAATGTGTAGAGATACCTATACTAATTATTGCGATCATAATATGAACTCTTAGAACTAGTGTTACGTTTAACTAAAATTGATTCGCATGGAGATATGGAATTTAATTAGTTAAATAGCCTCAGTAAGAACTTGAGAGGGGTAAATTGAATACAATAGAAGAATTCGATCGAACCCTACATTATGTTATGAATTTTGAATTAAGAATTACGGTAATCAATAAATGAAATTGCTATATTTTAATATTCATCACATATTTGAATCTTCAATTATCCGTTGTTTGCAATCTTTTTATATTTTTAATTAGTTAATAGTAATAAGGAAAAATAAGCATAACAATCAAAAATATTTTACTTGCTTTTATCAAATAGGAGTTAGAAAAAAATTAGATTAAGTCCTCAATTATAGTTCTTGTGGGAACGATATCCTGACTCAATGGTCTATTATACTGCTTGTTACGATGTCGTATACTTGCGATATAAAAAACGCAACAAAAACCAAAGGACCATACTAACAAACATAGGCCGTCTTATTTCTTAAAAGTTTTTAGCTCACGGTGATTGCCATTTTTCGCTATCAGCATGCTAGTACTTACAGTGAAAGCACAGAATAGACTCCGACGGCTTTTAAGGTAATATGAATTGTTGTATATACAGTATTAAGGAAGAAAATACATTAAAATCTTATATATTATACCGACCTGAGACAAATCTCGTTGCTATCTATATATGAAAATTGAGCATATTAACGTCTTTGGTGAGAAAATGAATCCAGGCATGCACGTTAAGTGTCGTGTTGAAGACTAAATTTAAATAAATAAAAGTTTATCATCTCTAAGAGTTGAAGCCATGCCCTCAAATTTTTGTATATATATGGAAGTCACATGCCAGTACATGGCAAAGCAAAAGTTTTGCAAAATGGAATTTCCTCTAGTATTCATGTTTACACTTTTTGCTGTGACATTTTTAGTCTCAGGAGAAAGATCAACTTACATTGTCCACATGGACAAGTCTTTCATGCCCAAAGCTTATTCTCACCACACACACTGGTATTCCTCCACAGTTGATTCCCTAAAATCAATTAGCCCCGCATCAAATGGTCAGAATCCAAACCCACCAAGCCTTGTTTATACTTACGACAATGCATTTCATGGGTTTAGTGCTGTTTTGTCGAAACAAGAACTCGAACATCTTAAGAAATTACCAGGGTTTGTCTCAGCTTATAATGATAGAGCTGTTACACTAGACACTACTCACACTTTTGAATTCCTGTCTCTGAATCCTTCCACAGGATTATGGCCTGCTTCTGAATATGGAAAAGATGTAATTGTCGGGGTGATTGATACCGGCGTCTGGCCGGAAAGTTTAAGCTACAATGACGATGGAATGGGGGATATTCCAGCAAGGTGGAAGGGAATTTGTGAGGAGGGACAAGAATTTAGTGCTTCATTGTGTAACAAAAAGCTTATTGGAGTCCGGTACTTCAACAAGGGAGTTATAGCTGCAAATCCTAATACAACATTGAGTATGAATTCTGGAAGGGATACTCAGGGCCATGGCACACACACCTCGTCCACCGCTGCTGGAAATTACGTCGAGGGTGCTTCAGTTTTCGGTTATGCCACGGGAACAGCACGAGGGATGGCCCCACGTGCTCACGTGGCAATGTACAAGGTCATTTGGGACGAAGGGCGATATGCTTCTGACGTTCTCGCTGGTATGGACCAAGCTATTGCTGATGGTGTTGATGTTATATCAATTTCGATGGGATACGATGGAGTGCCTCTGTATCAAGAACCTATAGCAATAGCCTCATATGGTGCAATGGAGAAAGGTGTAATTGTTTTAGACCCTATTGCAATAGCCTCATTTGGTGCAATGGAGAAAGGTGTAATTGTTTCCTCTTCAGCTGGAAATGAACATGATATTGGAAGTTTACACAATGGAATTCCTTGGGTTTTGACAGTTGCAGCAGGTTCGATCGACCGATTGTTTGCGGGAACACTGATTCTAGGAAATGGCATGTCCATCAAGGGATGGAGTGTGTTCCCTGCACCAGCCCTGGTCAAGGATGCATCTCTTATTTACAACAAAACAATTTCTTCTTGTAATTCAATTAAGGCATTGTCTTCCGTTCGCAGTGGGATAGTCATATGTGAAAATGGCTCATTCTATGATCAAGTTTACTATGTCTCACAATCAAATGCTGTTGCTGGTATCTTCATCTCTGATGAGACGTTTGAGGACAGTTTTTTTAACTTTCCGGGAGTTGTGATCAGCTCCGAGGATGCTCCAGTTCTCATCGATTATGTCAGAAAAGGTGCAAAGCCTGTTGCCAGCATCAAGTTCCAACAAACATTTTTCGGGGAAAAACCGGCCCCGGTGGTGGCTTCTTATACCTCACGTGGCCCTGCCCCAAGCTATCCCGGCGTCCTAAAACCGGACGTGATGGCGCCAGGAACATTAGTCCTAGCATCCTGGATTCCAGATTCTGTAACAGCAAACATTGGTTCCAATATTGCTTTAACTAGTGATTATATCATGATTTCTGGTACATCCATGGCATGCCCTCATGCTGCAGGCATTGCTGCACTTCTTAAAGGAGCGCACCCTGAATGGTCTCCAGCCGCCATCCGCTCTGCCATGATGACAACTGCAAGCCCATTTGATAACACGGAAAATTACATTCGAGATTTGGGCATAGACAACGAAATTGCTACACCCCTAGCTATGGGAGCAGGACAAGTTAAACCAAACGATGCCCTTAATCCCGGCCTCATATACGACGCCATGCCCCAAGATTACATCAATCTACTCTGCTCGATGAATTTCACACAAAAACAAATCAAGACCATCACAAGATCAAGCTACACTTGCTCAAATCCGTCCTCCGACCTCAATTACCCATCCTTTATAGCCTTGTACACTAATGGAACAACCACTAAGCTGGTTCAGAAATTCCAGAGGACTGTTACGAATGTTGGAGATGCTGCGGCAACGTACAAGGTTAAGGTGACAGCACCAGAAGGTTCCACTGTTAAAATATACCCAATAACGTTGGCATTCAGAGAGGAATATCAGAAACAGAGCTATACTGTTACTATTAGTTACCGGGGGCGTAGTTCAGGAGAAGTTACATTTGGTTCACTAATTTGGGTTGAGGATAATGGAAAGTATGCTGTGAGGAGTCCTATTGTTATTTCCCCTATGATTAAGACTTGGTGATCATTCATTTGATCTTACAATGTTGTGAAGTTCCATTTAAAGAGAGCTTTCAATTATTTGAAATGGTGTAAGCTTGAAAGATGTAATAAGTACCTATTTTCTGCAGTTCTTCTTTTCATCATAGTAATGACTTTCAATTATTTGAAATGGTGTAAGTTTGAAAGATGTAATAAGTACTTATTTTCTGCAGTTCTTCTTTTCCTCGTAGTAATGAAAACAGATTTTCCACTACAGCCAACTTCAAAATCAATAACATAGATGGAGTAACCTAATTTTAATAAACCTTAAAATTGAATGAGATTATTAAGAAAAAAAAATGAGGTCAAATGACAAAATTGAATTTCCTTTAAACCCTTGAGATGCCTAGTTAGCATGAAACCCTTTTTTTTTTTTGAGTAATTGTTGAAATGAAATTTGTAGCAATTAGGAATATTTTGTCATAATGAGAAAATGAAAGGAATTTTTAAATGTGAGGTTGATAGAAAATGAAACTATGTTGTGATGGAAGACATTCTAACAAGAACCATATAAATTTTTGATATGTTTTTTTATAATGAAAATTATTAAGGAATCTATTTCTTAGAAGGATAAATACAAACAAAGCATCCATGATCACGAAATTTTATATGGAGCTGTTGTATGAGTTTATATTGCAGTTTTGTATGAGTTTACAACCTTATCACTTCGATAATCTTTGATCACCTTACCACTCCATCGGCTCACACAATAACTGTTATCGCCGAGGTGTGGTGTGCTAATAAAAATACTTCTAAACACATTCTTTAGTACCTTAAATTATAAAATATCCAGTCTTCATTACAGGTTGCTTGTTTCCTATTCAATTTAGCCAAATAATGATTGATAAGGGTGTAAGAAAGGTGTGTTTGATGGATATTATTGAGAAAATAATATATTTTAGATAGTGATATAATAGGAAATATGT